ATGTGGGTTCCATCGCACATAGGAGTCATCGGAAATGAGAAAGCTGATACGTTAGCCAGAACCATTTTAAATCGAAGCAATGATGACGTTGACTTTAAAAATGTTGCCATACCTTTTTCAGATTTATTACCCAAACTAAAACTTTTGTTAAAACAAGATTGGTTGATTAATTGGCATCAAACGCTAGTAATAAAAGGAAAATGGTATCATAAAATTAATAATGTAATTGGTCAACATCCATGGTTTACAAAATCTAAAGAATACCATAGTCGGAAATTTTATACGACCATCACACGCTTGAGAATTGGACATGGACGTTTTAATTCACATTTATATAGAATGAATATAATTACATCTCCGTTATGCACAAACTGTAATTTAAATAAAGATCAAACACTAAACCATAGATATTTTGAATGTACAGCATATAATATACAAAGACTTGTTTTAGCTGACAATTTAATTAAATTATATAAAACTAATAATGAAATCCCGCGCGACATTCAAGACATTGTTATGAATCCAAAATCATACAAATATCTATATATTTTTTTAGTTTCCATAGATATGGAACTTTAAAAAATTTCATGACTAAACAAATAAGATTGAAAGAAAGAAGATTCAAATTGAAAGAAGATTCAAAATCGGATTTGAAAATTTGGGGGAAACAATAAGTACCTAAACTGAAAATGGATTAGAAAGACTATTTAGGACAAATATCTTATGATTAAAGAAGTGGCTTCGGCCTTATAGAAAAAAGAAACAAAAAAAATCCTTTAAATGAAGACTATGGCTGCATGGCTCTGCCTTTGCCTTTCCCAAGATGGGAAAAAAAGATATAAAAAAAAAATCGCTGTCAGTCAGTAACTTTTCGACTTTCGTTCGTGTAAGCTATTGTTACTTTTCTTTGTAATGAATAAAATAACAATATTGCTGTTGCTTAATGTCTATTTAACATTTGCAACAGAAGACTTCGCTTTTTCTCAAATCCGCTCAAGTACCGGTAAGTAAACATTTTTGTAAATTAGAATTGAATTCATGGATTACCTGACTATTTTAACCTGTATTTAATTTAAACATCATTTCAATACAGTCTCAGTTGTTATTTACAGTTTTTCAGTAGACTTTTAAATGAATGATTTTAATATCTATGATCACAGTACTACAGTTTATGGAGATTTAGTCCTTACTGGTATAATTTTAATACAATAACTTTATCTGTAATTATGCTGTTTTATTTATATTACAGAGTTTATTCTGTGTCGTACTTGTGGGAATTTAATAACATTCTCTAAACATATTACTGATAAAAGGAGTCCTGTTTCTCAATATATTTTCAATGATACTTTATTTGGCCAAGAACATGTTGTGGTCCAAGAGATGTTGAGAGATTTGTTATTTCACTTTCCTGTGGTAACTTTTGTAGACTCTACTTGTTCAGGAGTTGGAGAGGTATATGATATTACTTAATATGAAAAATCAAATTGGACTATAAATACTGTATTGCATTAATATGAAAACTATTTGAAATTACAGTGGGAGGAAAGTTCTTGGTTTCCTGGTTATATTTCAAGGCCATGTATCTGTAATGAATGTGGTACATATCTAGGTTGGGTGTTTCAACCATCTCAACCAAAAAAGAATTTTGAAACATTTTTTGGTTTCATATTATCTAGCCTTGTTGGCCAAACCCGTAAATATAATTTCTGTTTTGTTTTATTTTATTTTGTGTTTTGTCTTCGGGTTTGAGTGTGATGTTTTATGTACAAATTGTCTGTTAAATGTAATCCTGGTCTCAGAAAGGACACTCATGTTTGTCTTGGTTGATACAAAAGATATACAGGTTTGCCAAAATATTTTTGTTCAGTAACTTAAGATATAGAAACTTTGTTGGGTATTATAAAGATGTCTAAAATTATTCACTTTGGTATATATCAAACCCAATATTTGGCCAAACATTTCTAATCATTTGATCCCTTCTTTGGCAGATCTCTAGTTTAAACCTAATGATGTTTCCAGCTTCTTAACAAACAGAAGTTACAAAAATTTTAAACCAGGTTTTTATAATAATGGGGCAATATCAATGACTTATTACCTGCTATATACACTCAGCGGCACGGAATCGTGGCCAATCACTTCTTAAGCTATAGCATAAGTGTCAAGTGTTTACAACAAATGTTTTTTATGAAGGTGGGTCATAAAAATGCTAAACTTTGTTTTAAGAGGATAATTCATTATGTTTAAGTGTTTCATGGTGTGAATTGTGAGATTTAGTCACATCGCATATTTTAAGCAATATAATTGAAGTTTTGAATGTTGTTATGTGTGTAGTTTACTGTACCGTTTTTTAATTTTTGTGTTGTTTTGGATTTTATTAAAGTGTAAACTTACTTAAAAAGCAAAAAAAATGCCATCAACGCCAGCACAAGTTGCACAAGCGGTAGCCCTAATTGACCAAGGGCTCACCTAACTTGACGTGGCTATTGTACTCAATGTGACAGTGACTCCAAATTGCAAGAGGTGAGAATGTAAGTGAGCGTACGATGAGAAGACGAATGGAAGAAGTAAATTTAAAAGCGCGAAGACCAGCCCGAGGTCCAGAACTCCTCAGACAGCACCGAGTAGCTCGGCTTCATTTCGTCCGAGAACACGCCAACTAGACACACAAGCAATGGACTAATGTTTTGTTCACGGATGAGTGCAGAATCGCGTTACGTGCACCAGACGGTCGATTACGAGTGTGGAGAAGAAGAGGAGAGAGGTTTACTACTGAAACTGTTAGTTTTCATCTATAATGGTATGGGGAGGAATAAGTTCCGACGCTCGTAAGAAGTTGTTTATCATTGACAATCGGTTCATTGCAACTCGATACATTGAGGAGATCCTACAGTATCATGTTGTACCCTATATGGGGCTTATTGGATACGACCAGTTCCAGTTAATGCACGATAATGCACGCCCACACGTTGCACGATGCGTTGAGGACTACCTGCAAGACCTTGGTATTCAAAAATTACAGTGGCCTGCGCATAGCCCAGACTCAAACCCCATAGAACACATCTGGGACATACTCAAAAGAAAAATTAAATCCTCTTCTAACCCGCCGCAAACGCTAGGCGAGCTTCGAAATGCAGTATTGATGGGAGACCTAATCACAAGTTGATGTTAGAAACATGATCCAAAGCATGCCAGATCGAATGCAGGCAGTCATCAGGGCAAGGGGTGGAACACCCGATACTGACGTGTGCAAAAAAAAAAAACAAAAAAAATTTTGACTGTTCAGTGTGCACTGTTTGAAAATTAAGTAAAAGTTTCTGTGAAAGTGACACTTTTCATAAAAAAAAAATCTGATGCAATAATTTCTTGGACACTTAAGGGGGCGTCCATAAATTACGTGAGGTGTTTTTTTGGATTTTCTGTCCCTCCCTCCCCCCCCTGGTGAGATGTCGTGAGATTTTATTCAACCCCCATCCCCCAATCTCACGTGAGATTTTTCAAAATGTGGGTTTCTTTCGTAAACGCGTTGGATTGTTATTGTAAAAAGAAGAAAAAAATGCTTCGTGCTTTTATTTACGACTAGTTAAGATTAGTAATCAATATTACTGAGAGTTATAAGTGTAATAAAAAATTAACAATAGAATACTTCTAAAGAAAATATAACTAGAAAAAATTCCACGCGGACCAGGCAGCAGACGGCATGTATTCGCCCGGATTGCGAAGGGTGCGGGTTCGAGTCCCGTCTGCTGCCTGGTCCGCGTGGAATTTTTTCTAGTTATATTTTCTTTAGATTTAAACATCAAGCAGTTACATGCTTTAAAAATAATAAAAATTATAATAGAATACTTAATAGATACTACTGTGAAAAAATATTGCGTGATATTTGCCGAGACCCCCCCTCTCTCCAACGTAAGATTAGATGAGATTTGACTGGACCCCCTCCTCCCCTTAAATATCTCACGTAATTTATGGACGCCCCCTAAAAAAATGTTAAAAACCATTATAAAAGTGAACATGGGTTAGATCCAAATTAAATTAAATGTAAAAAAACATATTGAATTCAAATCAAAGCAAAAGTAACGGGTGGCCAAGTTTCCGTGCCGGTGAGTGTATTTGCGTCATTGATAAGTTTTAGATAGTTATTGTTTGCCTTAATACTTTAAATAGTAACCGTCATTCCATTAGAGAGCCTAATTGGTGACAAAAAAATATCTTTTTTATCTATATTGATTAGATAGAAATAGATAGCAAAGTAATTTTTATAAGTTAACACTTTTATCATTCAATTACAAAACAAAGACTTATATAAAAGGAAAAATAAAAAACAATAAAAAGAACAAAAACTAAAAATCATAATAATTCATTCAACATAATTTATTATAAAGAATATTTTAACTAATAGAAACTGAAAAACCTGTGTTAATGATGTATAGCACATATTTTATCGCACCTACCTGTCAAACTCCACAGTAATTTGACTATTGAGAGGGATAAAAACATGTTATATATATCACTTATGCTAGGGGACCTGTTAAATAAAGCCTGGTTTTTTTCTACTTATAAAATTTTCTAGCTCTCATTGTTATTACGGGTGCTATAACGTCATCTTAAAAGGGGAGTGGTGTGAGGCTGTGTTTGCAGTGTTTGGCAGTTTATAAATACAATAAAATTTTGGTGCTTCTGTAATGTGAAATTATCTAAAGCCTCCTCTCTTATAACTCGAAAATTTAATGATCATGATGGTATGGAAGATATTAATAAAAAAATACAAAGGGCATCACATGCACATTTTCTACACACACAATGCTAATTTAGGGTCTGCATGCACTGCTGCAAAAATATGTGCTGCAGAATCAGTTGTAAAATTAGTATTTTAAAAGGAGAATGGAAAAATAAATGTATATTATAGTCACTGCCTTAGGCCCTCTAATTAATACCTTCCTAATCAGTAAAGAAATAAATTGTGTGTATTTAAGTTATATTTAATGCTTATGTTTATCAGTTGTAGATTCCCTGATTGTTCACCCAAGATTGTCAAACTAAACATGGCATCATTTGAAAATCTCTCTGCTGAAGACAAAGAATTTTTGGAACAGTGTGAGGTTGAGTTTAAAGACAGATATACAGGGAAAGATGAAGAGTTTATGAAAGTATTCAATGCTGAAAAGTCTATACCCCCCGTTATAACGTCCTGGTGGGTGCCACAGAACTCAGGGCGCAGGAACGATCGAAGAAACAACAGGCGCAACCATCCATATGAACGCTCGGGTAACAGGGACTATGATAGGCGGGACAACCGAGACAGAAGAGACTATCAGGGCAGACGAGACAACTACGAAAGAAGGGGCAACTATGGCAGGAGAGACAACTACGAGCAGAGAGGTTACAATGACTACAATATGGATAACAGTAGACCAAGTCATGGTAGATATTATCGACAATAATATCAATATACACATCTAGTAATAAGAGGACAATGTATTATTTCAGCAAATAAAAAGATATTTTTCTCAAAAGAATATATTCTCAGTTATTATGGCTTGATTTACATTTTAACAACTTATAAATTACATAATAAATCACCAATTAAGTAATGCAGCTACAGCGATCGTAATAATTATAACACAATAAATAAATATTAAATTTCTCATTGCTACTCAACAAGTCTAGTGATTATAAATTTATAACAATAATTATGCCGATATAGTTTTTTTAAACTTAAGTTATTTACGACATTTCTGTTGTACACAAACAATATCGAAGCCAAAATATTTCATTATGCATGCAGACGTACACGCGGTCGGAAACTGCTTAATAATATTTGGATATGATATTACAACGTCATTTACATACCAGTTATTTACCTTAGTTCATTGTACTTTCTGTATTATTTTATGAATAATGTTGCATGGTCACTCATAAAAATAGATAATTTTTATAAGATCTGACAGAGAATATTTCGTATATACTTACATACAGAAAATGAGTGAGGTTCAATTAGGTACATTGTCAAATGATAGTTCAACTGTAAAATAAATAGTGATCACGACCAGGTACACCCGAGTTACATCATGCTAAGTGACACAATTACTAAGCACAATGACGATTACATTCATCAAGCTTCTAAGGTAACTATTTTAAAATATCTCCACTAATCAATATTACATACTGCTACTCATCTCCGTAATGAAGCTTATTATCACAAAAATAAATTATTTATTTTTTTATTATATCAGTGAATAAACATTTAATTAACAAACTTTAAATGTTTGGCGGTATTTCAAGATCAATCCACCAGTCATCGATGCCTATGGCGAATGCGATCAAAGAAACTAATCAATTAAACGTTCAGTCACCTACTGACAATGTGATAACGCTTTATTAATATAACAAAATGCAACCATAATAGTAATCACAGTGAAAGTGTAACATAATTATGCTCACTAACTTAATATTATGACTCAAAACATACAAGATAACATAACACACCAAATACACTACATACACAAATAAAATATATTTTTTGATACTGCTAAGTGTTTCCAGCACTAAACATTAGAGAATATTGAATTCTAATCACGATTCAGTCGGGACGCTCCGCTATAGGTCGGCAAGAATACACACACGCCTGGCCCGCGATTCATTCGCGATACGGCCAACGCACGACCCTGGCTGGATTCGCACGAACATTATGCTGATACTAGGTCGATGTTCAACACTGGAGGACACTAACGATGCCGCCTAACACAATGATTCATTCGTTAGAATATATAAATTTCTACATCATTTAATAATAATGATTCTCAATCGTTACAAATATGTTTTTCATTACATTAATCAATTAACAACAACGCACAATATTTTTAATTGTATGAATTGACACGTAACATCGGCCTGTGTTGCAGAGGTCGCCACCGGCACCGTGGCCGCGCTCATAACTTACATACGATAGACAATTGACTAGGATCATCGCACTCGTCCGCGCCCGAGCGGCACTCATCCGATCTAAGGATATCCGAGAAGGATGTACAATATTGGTCGGGTTCAGTTCGCATTCGACTAGATACGCGGGCAAACGACCGAGCATTCGAGTCGCAATGCGAGTACAAAATCGATGCGCAGACTCTTGACGTCGAGTCTGCGTTGTTTTTTTTTCTCAATTTGGTTTTGTAAAAGTGTCAAATGTTCGTAGCAAATTTTCATAAGATAGATCTAAAGCTTGTTTTGATTTGAGAGTGAGAGAGTGGGCGCTGGGGACTGTTCAGATGAAGGTCCAGCACTCCATGATCTTGACGATGAAGTCCTCGCGCGTGGTGAGCGGCTCGTTGCCGTACGTGGTGCAGCGCTGCGTGCGCCCCAGGTACAAATCTCCGTCCAGCCAAATGCCAAACCTGCCACTGTGGAATAAATGAGTAACTTTAGTAAAATATCGTAGTTTCTCTTGCATATACATATAGGTTAGGTTAGCCAAAAAAAAACAAACTTGCTACTGTGAAATAAATAAATAATTTTAGTAAAATATCATTAGTTACTATTATTTTGATTTTTTGGGGCTATGCAGTCAAGGGCGGATTCAGCTTTGGCGCCAGGGGGGGGTCATATAGTCGTGGTCAAGTCACAGACTCAGCCCTGGATCCGCCCTTGTATGCAGTCCTAATGGGACCGTAGTCACTGCGACTTATAAGATCTTTTGTGACTCGCTACCAAGTTGCAGTATCTCTTTTAGCTCAACTCAAAATATTTCTAGCTTTTAAAGATTTATTTCTTCTGGGCTTATTATATGCCGTCCCAAATGAATACTAAGTTTGTGGATGAGAGGCCCACATTCACTTTTTATTTATTTTGTCATTGGCATGCATGCTATGATCTTTATGGTTGAAATAAATGAATAATTATTATTATAGGTTTTTAGTGTTTCACTCCAGATCGTAGTATCTGCAAACATCAGTGTCACTCAATTTCATATGAAATTGGTGTCTGTTAAGTTTGCAGTGTCCAGTTACGATAGCACGGATGTTTTAGCGAGCTCTAATCCTGGTTGATTTAACCAGAATTTTTTTCGATTCGCTTAGAAGGTCGTCCTTAACAATTTGCATAGCATGGTTTCTAGGGATGCCACAGAAAGGTTCTGGTCCTATTTGTTGCCCCTGTGCCCCTACTATTGCTAATTCATCAGTTTTCTCGTTGCCGATTATCCCTGAATAACCTGGTACCCATTTAAGAATAACTTTATTCTTTTGACCCAGGTTATTCAATTTATCTACGCAGTCTTTCACCAATTTCGAGCATATCGTGTTCGAATTAATGGCGTAAAGCGCTGCTTGGCTATCTGAAAAGATATATATGGCTTGGTTTGTGTAGTTTCGTTGACGATAGGCTTCTGCACATTCTATGATAGCATATACCTCCGCCTGGAATATAGTAAGCATGTTTTCCGACATTCATGCTTTTGTTGAATCGCGGCCTTTCGCCGTATATTCCACATCCTACATTTTGACCCATTTTGGAGCCATCATATAGGTTAGGTTAGCCAAAAAATATCAAACTTGCCACTGCGGAGTATACAACTAGCACATGAAATTTATTTGTTTATTTAAAAATTAACGGAGTTTACAAAAGTCAATTACCTAATCATAGTTACTGTTGCTGCTTATGCTTACTGCTGCTATATAGCAGCATTAATTTATATTAAGGTCAGCGTGGAGACCTTTGGGGAGCTTAAATGGTGATGATACTTAAAGGAACACGCCACACAGCGAAAATAGATCCTATGGTGTTAAGGTGGTGGTAACGCTAAATTTTTTATCCAGACAGCCTAAACTATAGAAAAGTTGATGCCATCCTTTAGATACTTATAACTATTTAAGAGGATGATTTTGGCGTTGTAATAGGTTTTTTAAAGACGCGAATGTACTTAACTAATACTTATATAAATGTGATAGTGGGCTTGTTTGAAATATGAGGTGAAATTTAGAGTGGGAAATGAATTAAATCATGCATACAAAGTGGCGGGTAGCCGCAAGTATTCGATTACATCATACATACTTGGTAATTAACTGATACTCACTCGCCAGCGCCAATAGATATGTTATCGCTGCTTCCTCGAATAAAGTACATGTTTTCGCCAGTCCACCCCCAATACTTAAATTTGGTTTTTACTGGTGGTAGTTGATCTGAAATAAAAACAAATGGATACAATAAGTTGGCCTCAACGAAATTCCTATTTCATGAGCTTAGAATTATGCATCATCTTGCAAATTAGTTCATCAGATTATTTTTTTCTACCAACTATCTGATGTTAAGTGTTGACGAAATCGACACGTGTCCAAAGACATAAAGAGTATAGTGAGTTATTATTTTTGTAATTTTAATATGTATTATCATTTTATGGCTATTAACGGGATTGTTACCATGTAACTTGTTTTAAATATCGGAGACTCATAAAAAACAAGGCACATGGTAACAATCCCGTTAATAGCTATAATGTTAGTGACCATGAAAGTTTAAAACAATATGTTAAGTAATTATTTGTTTTATCGAAAAAAAACTATATGTTGTAATTGGATGTTGAATTTTCAAATGCATCTTCTATAGTTTTACACCATTGGCATAAGTGACGTTATAGTAGCGTATGTGCAATATGTGTTGGAAAGAGAACAAGAATGACTCAGTGACGCTAACACTAACCTCCTTTCTCGTCCTTCGTCGCGTCTTCTTTTGTCTCCTCCTTCCCCTCCTTCTCCTTGTCCCGATCGTCAGAGTGAGACGGCCTGCGCGACTCCTCCACGCGTTGGAAAGAGAACAACAGAGATTCGCCCGTGCCGTAGAAGTGCTCGGACGGGTGTAACGCGCACGAGGTCAACGCACCGAACACCTGGATCCAGAAAAAATCAAAACTGTCAATCGTGCTTCATTTGTTTTAGCAAGTTCTCCTATCTCAGAATGATTGACAGTGGAAACACAACGAATGCTATAATCAGAAATTAGTGGGCACTACGAGAGAGACCAATACTACTTATACTTGAAAAATGCTATACCTGGCTTATAGACGTTTGCGATATCCGAGTACTATCTATGTTGACTCCAAATGACAAGTATTATGAAGTTTCGACAGAAAAACATTATTAAAAATGTGATTATCATATTGCGGTGCCACGGGGACTGGAACCGTTATAGTCGGAAACAACACCACTAAACACTACTTGTGTTACTTTGAAATATGGTAACTTCCCCAGACGGGCGCTCCTATTCGCGCTAAGAAAAAGATTTGACCTAGCTCTCTTAATTATTTATTGTGTAGTAACACTCGTCAAGTTCTTGTCCGTGTCCTGTATGACGAGAAGCACGGGCTTTCGGTACACGGACGCAAGTGAAGATAAATCTTTATAATGTATCCGTTATGCTAGTACCCCATAACACAATTTTTAACCCTTACACTGCTTGCTTTGGGGCTAGGCCAATTGGTGCGTGTTGGAAATATTTATGGAGGGGTCTAAGAGCTGGTAAACAACAGAGGGAGATGACCTAGAGATCCATAGACTGCACCGACAACAGCATTGCGTATAAATGTAGAGAAAGAGTGATATAGAACGATCCAAACTGCATGGCCGCTGTGAAGTTAGCAGCGAGCGCGACTATGCGCAGATTTCGGTTCAGTGACATCCCGCGTGCGCCTACATCATCCTACAGTGCGACAAGGGTATTTATGAATGTGGCGAAAATTGGAACTAACTGCGCCGTCTTTATAAACTTCATATTTTGTGTATAATTTTCGACCATTTACGTAGACAGTGGCGTCCTCCCTGACCTGTCTCACATTCAAAAATATCTTTGTCGCACTGTACATTTCATTTACTACGCCGCAACTTGCACTAACTTCACAGTAGCCATTAAGATTGAATAACAAATTTATAGTGAGACAAGAACCTATATGAATGTGGCCAAAATTGGAACTAATGCCGTCGTCTTTGTAAGTCATATTTTTTATACCATTTACGTAGACTGTGGCGCCCTCCTTGAACTGTCACTCACATTTATAAAGATCCTTTTCGCACACTACTCACGTTGTTGTCCGTGTCCTGTATGACGAGTAGCACGGGGCTGTCGACGCGCTGCATCTTGCGGTACATGGAAGCGAGCGAAAACCCGTGCTGGCTTGTGCTGAACGCCAACGACCACATGTAGCCTTGCGCGCGCGCCGGTAAAACTGTGCAGATCTTCTCTCTGTACGGTGGGTAAAAAACTACGGTAAAACATGTGTCACGCCAAAGAAGTGTGTGTTTACCCTAAGCCCAAGAGGGCCATGGCCCCGGGGCGGCTGCAAGAGCTGCGAGGGGCAGCAGAAGCATTCGTTACCGAACTAATACCTGGGCGCAAATAGGAAGTGACACGAAGCGCTAGATTTTTTAATATGCCCCAACTCAAAGAAAGGAGCGCAGGTAAAAAGGAAATAAGTTAAATGCGCATTACATTTTTTATAGAAAAGTTATGATGTCAAACTATGGAATTCTTGAACTGAATACGATTTAAGTGAAGCTACAGACAACCAAAGAGCGCTGATATCACTCTAAATTTTTTAGGGGGATACTATCATTAATTCTTAAACCTATAGCTTGACGTTGTCGCCACATTATTGATTTGCTCCCTTCGCAGCCTGCCGCTTGCCACAGCTGTAATTACCGCTGCCTTATCTTATATACAACTCTGGCTACGGCTACTATTGACAACTGTATCTTCTTAATTTAGGTACTTACCTATTTTGGGAGACTAAGGCTCTATTACAGAATGACAACTAAGGGCCGTATTATAGAAAGATTCTTAGTATCAGTGATTAATCTAGTCTTGAGCATAGTTAGAAAGGGATGTCGCTATCCCTTTCCAACTGTACTCAAGTAAAGATCAACACTTAGTTGTCATTCTGTAATACGGGCCTAAGTGTTGATCTTTACTTGAGTACAGTTGGAAAGGGATGTCGCTGTGTGCTATACATAACATTATCCCTTTCTGACTATGCTCAAGACTAGATTAATTACTGAGAATCTTTCTATAATACGGGCCTAAAATACGAGTTAAACAATGAGATACACCGTCAAAATACGTTATACATGTTATATAAACATTCTAGAAACAGACTAAAAATAAAAAAATACACCTCCTATTCTATACCCTCGTAAGTCCCCGCGTACTTGTATAAGTACAAATAAAGGATAGTAGTTCAGACCTGATATTTTAACTACATATATGGAGTGCGTACCTAATGTACTTGCCGAAGTACAAATTTTTAATTCCCCATTTACCGGGTAGTTTTTTTACAACGGCAACACAGACACAGTCATTCTCATTCAATATTCCATAGTCGATTCCGCCCTGTTTGACAGGTAACGTCAACTGACAGTGTCAGTGTCACTTTTTCGCAAGATGGCTACGCGGTCGGGACGACGACCAGCACGAGGTAAGATTATCTGTTTATATCCAATAAATCATTTGTTTTTTCTTTTGTTTTATAAATGAATTAGTGTATATAAATTCTGAATATTTTAAAATGAACAAAATTTAAAAGATGACTGTAATTTTAAGGAGATTTCTGATCGGTTAAAATAATATGTACTTGACGTGGTACGTTAGGTGTTTGTTACATAAATATTTGTACTTGTGGCGGTACGTTCGGTCTATATTACAAGTTTATCTCCTAGAAAATTAAAATAAAAACTATTTTTTGTCGTGTTCAGTTGACAAAAATGTTAAATTATAGCCTATTACCATTTATTTTGATCTCTTATACTTGACTGTGATTTCGCTATATAATGTCATATAAGTAGTACGTAAGGAAGATTGTTTGCAAATTTCAGCGTTTTCTATTTTATTTAATAAGTAGGTATAGTGATGTCGTTATTCTCTGATTAAGATAAGATAATGGCCTAAATTGTCATTGAGGCTGAGTTTTTAATTGTTTTTTTAATGAAGATTGTTTACGTTGTAATAAAATGATGTTAAGAGGAAAAATATGTTTTGTTTCGATACTAATTTTTTTTTTAACTTTTTTTACATTGTTTTATTACACGGTGTAAAAACCTAATGTACTCACACATGTACAAAATATTTTCAATAAATTTCTTCTTAAAAAGGTGCTTTACATAATAAACATACCGTAAAAAATACAGACAACAAGACCTCACTTCAAAAATTACGTATAAGCGTTTTTTCTTGTCTCGGTCTGAAGTACTATTCTTGATTTGTACTTGCTATAGTACATCCGTCAGATATGACTACTGCTGTTAAAAAAACACGGGACTTACGAGGATACGGTATATTACAAGTACTTACTAACGTCAAACATCTAACGTATAAAGCATAACATGGCTTGAAAAAAAAAAGTGTCATTCAATAATTTACATAAACCGATTCACGTAACTGTCATAAAAACAAAACTTTCGATTGCATACATGGTGATTATTTTTTTGTTTTGAGAAAGAATCAGACTATACTAAACATAAAATTTAGATGAAATTGCCTGATTATAATATACCAATTATTTACCACCCTCTGTTTTAGAAGTGGAGCTCTGTTTTAGGTATCATAATAAAAATGTCTTTCAGAAAGAATGATGAAAGTAAAAGAAGTACCTAACATTGATATTTTCTGAGTTCCCCAAATAATCAATAGGAACTTAGGAAGCGAGCGACAGAGTATTAGATTTTAGAGTTCTGCTTCTTGAAGAACACCTTACTTGGTGAAAAATAAATACAGACAGGACTATTTTCGCGTAAAACTTTGACATGGCGTTACGAATATTTTTCCGCTAGTTGATCGTGCTTGGGGTAAATTGGCGGTATTTGCTTTTTATATAATAAAATAAAGCTTAGTATTTCAGATAAGTTGTTAGCTACCTAAATTGATGCACTAAATTGATTATGGTTATCTTTTTTATAAACATTTATAGTCACCAAAGTTTATTATTTTTGAAACATTAATCAGCATGTTTATGTTTGTATTATTTATTTCGCTTCATAAAAAGTTGATAAAGTATCTTGTGACGTTTCTAGTCAATATAAAACGTGCCTCCGATGTTGGAAGTATTACGAGTAAAAAATCGTTCTAAGTATCTGCTAACTTTCCCTTCCCACACAGATATTTATTTATTATACAATAAAAAGCGTTTTTATCAAACAGCTTGATTTCGCACAAAAACTATTGTTGGCGATAATATAGAAGCCATGATTTTTGTTTCCGCATCTTCGATTCCACCGAAATTGAAAATACGAGAAGACTTGGCAAACGAGCTTATTGCCTGCCTAATAGTAAGGTGCCACCATAGCCTTGCCACCTAGACGCTTGCGATACAATATAATAAATACTATATATAAATACAATATCACTCTCATGTTGCCTAATCTGATCCCAATCCCATTTCTTAAAAATGTCCTAGAACTCCTTACTCACACCTTACCGTCAGAAACATACCACCAATAGGTCAGTTATCGCGCTACAATCAGAGCTAAAAATGTGCTATGCTCTACCAGTTTTGCATATTATCAATACTGATTCTGATTTAATGAAATGCAGAACAATCTTCTACTGTATAGTTGAGTTAAACTGTAAATTATAGCTACATCTCTGTCTACAGATAGTTGACTAGAGTGAAGCAGCACTAGTCCCGCATGTACCATAGATATCCACTAGAATCTCACCTGTGCTCCATGGTGAATATCTCTGATGTTCCGATAAGGTCGGGCGGGGAGAACTCCATGTCAATGGAGGCGCCCGACGAGTACAGCGCACGCCGCAGCTCATCGCTCATCGACAATACCTGCGCACACGCAACAACATTAGTTTGAAAACTTTATGCGGCTTCATGAGTGTTCAATTCAGACAGGTAGGTCTTTATCATTGATAATCTTAGCATTGATTTAAACAATTGAGGTCTTTTAGGTTCTTAATGCAACACATCATCAGAGAAAGTAAAAAAGACTAAAGTTCTTTTTCTCACTTATTATATTTTCATACATAACCGAAAACTATTATTAAAAATTGTAATCTAATTATATATTAATAGTTTTGCATATAATTATACAATATTTACATTATGTACTGGTATTAATACCTACATTCAGAAATAATGCAAATACAGTAGGAATAAAATTTCATGTAAGTAATATTGAATTAAATGAAATAAGAATTAAATATATACCTACAGATTAAAATAAATGTGGGCACATTTTTCTTATAAAGTCCGTTTTTAACTATATTTTGTTTATATAATATGTTTAAAATAAAATTTGCATAAAGATTACATAAAAAAGTCTCTCGACATTAACGCATTAATTGTTAGTTTGATTTTAATAAGCGTACAACTAAATAAGAGTCCATGTATTAGTATTAAATATTGTTTCCTTTCTATTTATATGTTACAAAATTATCAATTACACATTTATTTAAATCGAATTAGCATAAAAACAGTAATAGCTACACAGTTCATGCTTAGAAATACAATAAATAAAAAAAAGTGTTTAATTCATGCCTTGCTTATTATTATAGTATGTGAGCCCAAACGGGGATTTTGGGATTAACTTGAGCGCCGCAGAATAACAAAAGGGGCGCAACCTTGCCCCTTGTGAAGTACTCCCATCATACATTAGCCCTATAAACAGTTCCGAACGTTTTGAGTAGCAAAATAAAATCAATACGAGGCCCCGACTTTTGGTCGCGTTCAAATTGACAGTTTTTGAACGGAAGCTAGAGGTTACACGAAACTTCCCTTCTCAATGTCTGACGCGCTTGAAAATTGCTTTTCCTATTTTCTACGACTTTGTACGGTCACCTCGACATAGATTAACATTTTCCGTCAGCAGAAACTTTACGAGAACCAGTAGCTCCTATTAAAAAGACTGACGATTTGGACGCGACCAAAAGTCATGGCCGGCTGTTGAATTTTTAGCTGCCCTGCCCTTTATGTTATTCTGCCGCGCTCAAGTAAATCCCAAAATCCCCGCTTGGGCTCCCCTACTATTATAACGGTTTAGCTTTTAAGTGCTTTATAGACAATTATCATTCTCAGATGAAAGTATTGTGACGTGGGAAACATCGTTCAATGATAAAAAAGATGGTGTGGACAATTGATTCACATTTCAAGAGTTAATCATTTTGTACCTCCACTAACTAACGTTGAACGATGTTCGGTATGAAATGGTTGCACTTGCATGCCACGCGAGTGACTGTGATAGCGAAGGTGACAGCTAGACTAGCGTGGTGGTGCATTCCAGACACTAAAGTTCACACCATCATTCAGTTAGTGCTTGTGCACTAGTCACTAACATCTAACAGGCTAATCCTAAAGAACGAGGCTTGGTATCATGACCTTTTAATGCGATGCAAAAGCAACCTTTGGTATATACCATACCCCATGGGGTATATACCCCAAAACTTCTTGAGCATCGACCATTGACAAGGGAGCCCGTGCAGTGGCAATTTTACATACAAAAACGTCTACTGTGCAAGTTACGAGTAATTTGTATGTGGTTTTGCTCAAGATGTTAGCCGCTACCTTTAAGAGACGGTGCTTTATTAATGTAACCACCTGTTTATTCAACAAACCAGACTCAGGGTCATCCTGTTACGAATTAATTATTATGAAATAAATAAATAATAACATCGTTTTGCTTGATTCAATTGCTTTTTCATCGCGTTAAAGGCGCACGATTTTATTCTAGAAGACAGACAAGGAGATTAGGTACATATATAGTCACCGAGTAGCTTAATTTAATGAATAGGTACCTATTTTTTAGGATACTTAAAAGCTAATAATAACATCAATTGAAATTGTTAAAATATTTTTGTTTTGTTATCAATTCGGTTTTACTTAAATATGTATATTTTATGCAATAACGTTTACTCTATGTGGTCATATTTTCAGCATTTTCTCACCTTGTCATTGTAATGATTGCTTGGTAATCATAATGTATGATCGATCAATGATACTTAATTAGCGAGGTAAGGTAAACGCACGTAGCTATGTATAATTTGAACTGTGGCACATACATAACGCATTTGTCATCCATTAAATAACAAAACACTCGAACGAAATTACAATTATGTACCTATGAAATTGCTTACCTAACACAATCACAATGATGTTTTTGCTTACATCATTACCTACTTACTACCAAACTGGTGAAAATGATACTTACCTCATATTTACATTTTATTTTACAGTTAAAAGAATATACAGTCTGAATGTGTGTCAATTTGATTTTGTGTTGTGCTTATTGACACTCTCGAGACACCGCGAAGCGTGAAATCCACAGAACCTAGCCGTATCGATTTGAAATAATGGAAATGGGAAAATGCCATTGATATCAATTTTGGACCTTGCTCGGGCACCTACATTTATGACAAATTACGACGATAGAAGTGTCATTATTTGTCTAGGTCTACCCTCATTCAACTTTTTTATGCAGCCGGCGCGTCATTATAAATCAGTGCCTAGTGAGCTCTAGCGTTTTCTTCTTTGCTATATCAACTTTTACATGTCATCTCGTCTTTAGTTTTTATGCCCCAGTACGACATCCGGGAGCGTAAACGAAAAAAAAATATATAAATAATATAAATTTTGTGAATTTCCATAATACCGGGGTTTTTGCTATTGCTACGAAATGTACATATTTAAAAGTATTTATCTATACAGTAATTCATAAATTAATTACACTGATCTCTTGAAAAGGGGTTAAAATAAAAATTCCACAAGCTAATCGTTGCTTCTTTATCCTCTTCAGACCCTCGGTACACACACGTGTACCTATTTAAAACAGATTTTTTACTACCAGCGACATCTCTTAAAGTGTTTGGAACTATTAAGATGTGTTCTCTAAACATAATAGTTCACAAAAAATCCGTTGACAAAGTGGTGCAAGTGCGACAAGTGTATGACATTTTTATTTGAAAATCAAATGTGCATCGTTTTTTTTACGACACCCACGCAGCGTTTTTGAAAAAAAGGTAACTATAGTAAAACTAAGTAACTTATTAATATTTTTGTATAATTTAGTACATAAAGTGTTGCTTTCTAATAAATCAATAAAAAAATTATGAAATAATTGTTTTTTTTTGTAAAACAACATGTTTTTTGTCAAAGTACACATTTGTGTACCTCAGGATTGTAATATTTAATGTTTGCTAGTATGGAAAAAAAAACATTATTTATTTTTGCCTTGTAGATCATGGATGATGCAGCTATCGAGGCAGCACTTAACGCCAGCGACGTGGATTTTTCGGGAGATGAAGATGATCTCGAGTATTTGCCACCTGATGTTGATGGACCCTCGTCTTCACAGTCGGAAGACGAGCAAGCACAGTCAGAAGAGGAGCAAGCAAATGATGAAGTATTCCCTTCATCGCGTCAATTCTGGCGGACCAAAGAAATGGTTTCACGCGGTCCTGACATCAGTGAAGATGTACTCCTCACCCAAGGTAGTTCAGGCACTAATTGTTTGTTCTCATTTTTTGAATATCTTGATGTAGACTTTTGGAAGGAAACAGCAGAGCAAACTAACTTATATTCTGCACAATCACGAGATTTGAGATCTGTTCGTACTAATCATAGAGAGATTATACAATTCACTGGAATACAGATTCTCATGGGGACACTGAAATACCCTCAAGCACGGCTTTACTGGAGCAGAGACCTTTCTGTACCTCTCATAAAAGATACGATGACCCGTGATAGGTTTTTCGAATTACGAAACTATCTCCACTTTGTGAACAATGCAACAGCACATACTGATGGTGATAAACTATGGAAAATAAGGCCAATACTTCAGAAAATCCTTAAAAAATGCCACAGCTTACCTCGATCAAAGCACATGTCGATTGATGAGCAAATGGTTCCGTTTGCTGGAAGGTGCGAATATCGACAATACGTTCCATCTAAACCAAACCCACTAGGGCTCAAGAATTTCGTTTTGGCTTCAAAAGATGGCCTAGTGTTAGATTTTGAAATTTATGTTGGTTCCAATACAATACCACAGGAGGATATGGCATCTCTAGGACTAGGAGCAGGAATAGTAAAACTGCTCTGCCGCACGATCCACGAAAACTGCGTGTTGTACACAGACAGGTTTTTTACAAGCATAAAACTTGCTAATTATTTAAATGAAAATAAAAACAATGTTTACTTGACTGGTACCGTCATGAGCAATCGGTTTGGAGATGTATCCAAGAAACTGAAGACTGACAAACAGCTGAAACGTGGGGAATTTGATGAGAAAGTCCGAAATGACGAAAAGGTATGTGTGATAAAATGGAAAGACACTAAAGCCGTCACCATGCTTTCAACATGCACCGGGAGCTCCCCCATGACTACATGTAAGCGCTGGTGCAAAATTGAAAAGAGAAAGATAGATGTATCACAACCAGCTGTAATCAAAAACTATAACACCTGCATGGGGGGCATTGATCTCTGTGATAGGCTCATAGCGTACTACCGAAGCGCTATGCGCACAAATAAGTGGACAATTAGAGCTTTCAGTCACTTTGTGGATCTAGTCATTGTTAACTGCTGGGTAATGTACGTCCGTTGCTGCAATCAAGAAGGCATTGAACCCAAAGACAAGCTTGGGTTGCTGCAGTACAGGGTAAACATAGCGACAGCCATGGTAAAATTTGCGGGAGGGAACGTTGTCGCTGACTTCACGTCCGGGCCCAGCACAAGCAGGGGAGAAGTCGAGCAAGATTGTTCATCCATGTATGAACAAGGAGAACCACTGAAAAAAAAAACATCGAGCAGTGGTGCCCCTCACGAAACCCGAGGTTCGG